AATTTTATATTATTGGTTAACTGAAAGTAACAATTGATAAAATACGTAATTATAATTCAAAAGATCTATATTGTTATCACTGTTGCATCACAGGTGATCGAGATAAGAATTCAAATTCGCTGCTAAATACGTTTGGCTTTATTAATAAATATTCCTCCGTATAAATCGAATGACAATTTCTATTTTGATTCAATGAACGAACTTTGATAAATATTAGTATTTTAACTCTGAAGGTAGCATTGTGTATCAAAACCTGATACGTATTAATAAATAGATTATATATCGCTGACTTTTGAATTGCTTATTCGTAGAATACATACAGAATATCATACTATGTACCGAACCTGTGAGTGTTATGCGATACACTTATTATCGTCGCGTGATAAGATCACGTTTTGTTGCAGAGCCGCATAGAACATTTCATTGCCTTATCTACATATTTGATAATAAACTCGATTATCATCACTATTGTGTAGATGCAATGGCAAACGTTATATTGAATTCGCAATGACGCGAATAACATGAGAATTCTAATTGCACCGACTACGCGTAATTGTTCGTTGCATATTATAATTTTAAGGAAAAGTGGTTGAAGTTGAAAGTGACACTTCAACTTTGATATATGATTTTCTAAGTACCTTCAGTTGCAAGAAAATTGTTTATTCGAGTATCGTAATAAATACAATACAAATTTTTTAAATATGTTAAAATTAAAATGTAGATTACTTGCACACATATTTAAAAGTAAATCATAGAACGTTGAATTTGGAAACGTAAAGAGATTTTTAATAGAATTATTAGTCGAATTTCAAGTAGTAAACCCAAGATATCGTAGGAATTTATTAACTATTAACTAATTACTATATATATAATATTCATAATTAATTGAAATGTTCTGTATTCAAAAATAAATTCTCAATCTGTAAACATTCCAACGTACAATAGAAATAGGGAAATTCAAATTCCTAGAACTAGAAAAATATCAAATATACATCTCTGTGAGAGACAAATAAAATGAACCAGTACTAAATAAAAAATTTAAGAAAAGTAAAGAGCATGCAATGCAATGAAAATTTATTGCTTACAATTTCAAATCGCTAGAATACAAACCTGTTTTATGTGAAACCTTGAGTGTTCTTGCATGGATAATCTACGCATTTAGTGTTAAGTATCTCTATGAATTATTATCCTTATCTTTTATCACTATCTGTAGAATCACTGCTAAATCCTGATCATAAAACAGCGATTTAGGTACGTACAGGAAGTAACTTCTCTAGTAATAATGTTAAAACATCTGTGTGGTCTTTCATTAGTTTTTCTTATCAAATTTTGTCGACTGGAGTTTCGAGAAAATTTAAAATATAAATAAGTAACAAAATGATCGTGGTTATAATTTGATAAATTATAAATACTGTCATATTTTAACAAGTTGAAGGAAATTTGAATTGATAGAGAAGATTTAACTTATCTAAGAAAATCAAATACAGTTACAGCTGTGTCTTCGTTAATGATAAAAAATCAGTATTTTTGTAGCATCTATACTTAAAATCATTTCTGTGATTAATGGATTTGTTTATTTTGTTCTCTTTTAGTTTTTGAATTAAATTGTCGATTAAGGATGGGAAATAACGCTTGTACCATTCCTTAACGTTCTTTGCAATTTTCCAATAAATTCAGCAATGTTATTGATAAGTTATTAAACATTATTAACTTGTTCGTATTCAATCAAATCAAATTACATTTCTCCTTGAATTATCAACCAAAATTAACGTTTATTTCAACTATTTCTTAAGCATAAACGTCCGTAATTTTGTTCTGCTTCAATGGACTTAGAACTTCAATTCAACGATCTATAGAAACTAGAGTTGTAACAGGACTCGCAGGTTCAAGTTAAGTTCTGTTAATTTGTCGAGTTATCAAGGATTTACAAAATAAATAAAGCATCGACTTAAAGAGGTTTGACTTACAGAGGTTCGACCTTATATCTTTTATCACTTTCGCAAATATTATTCGCAGAACATCGCACGAGAAAATTAAACAAAGAAGGAGGTTATTTGAAGAACATAAGCTATGTCTAATTGAGTCATTCCCTTTTACAACGTGCAATTGTAGCGAGTATATCGAAGAAAATGCTTTGGCTTGCTGAACAGTTTATTTAACGGATTTATTCGTATCGTTTTTGTAGAGAGACGTTCTAACATTCAATTTCGTATTACTGATTTGATAATAATAATATACCTACACCCCCGCTCAGAAGCATATGGACACTTTCTTAATAAAAATAAATATCTAATAAAAGTTGCGAATCTATTGATATCAATTACATCACTTATGTTTCGATATGTTTATGTCTCATTAACGAATATATTTTATTAATACTTTTTTTCTTTAATATCACATTAGCAATCATAAAAAAACAGTCTAGTTTTCTTTATATCGATGTATCTGCTGGGTGTTCTTAAAATTTCTTTTACCAAACACGGGTACTATTAATTTCTTTATTACATCCGAAGTAATATCTCATTTATTTTGCAATATTTCGCCATAAATGTTTTTGATATATTGAATATTCTTTTTAAACTTTTCTATCTATACGATCTCATAGTTCCACTATAAAATTGGTTATGACACTGAAAACATTTAATATTATTAAATACACATCCAATATAGAATTTAGCAATAAAAGTTGTCTAGTAATAATTTACGGTGTATATTAATTATTCATTCAAGGTAGTAAGTGTCCACATATTTATGAACGAGGGTGTATGTACATTACTTTTGTTATAATCTGATTCTTTAAATATACAATTTTTTTTAGATAGGCTTAACGTCGCAGATACATTTTACAAGAAAATCAAATAAATGTCGCATTTTTCACAGATTTGTAGATGATGGTGTAGGAAAATTTAGTCTGTGCCGATACTTTTGTCCAGCACTGTATATTTCCAATCGCACGAGCGTATTCATTAATGACAATTCCGTCGAATGATTGTAAGATTATGACTTGGTTCTTGTTAGCGGTGGATTTATGCTTTGTAGCATGAGCGTATGACTTATTTAGTTCTCTAACGTTGATTTTGATTAGAACATTCTGGTTATTTATTATTGGCGAAGAACCTCAGTAGTCGGGAGTTTCGCCTATTTTGCGTAGCTTGGTAGATTAGATGACATGTACATGTACGTATAGACATGTAAATGTACTGGCACAAACGCTACCACCATTGATATTTGCGCTACACTACACTCGGATGATCAGTTTACGTTTGGCACACGCGATCGAGACGTACTGCCGATAGAAACGTCTTGACAGATTGAAATTTTAATTACGTTCCTCCGGTCGAGTTTCTGACAGGAGGACTTGAACGTAGCTCGTATATTTGTTTTGGCTTATATACAGTGTAACGCACAATAAATGAACCTCCTTAGAATTCCTTTAGTTTCGAAGATATGATGAAACATAATGGACGTAATTGGTTTGTTAAAGAGACATAGAGTATGCAGAACCATTCTGCAGAGACATTCTTTTCTCAAGATGATTTTTATATTAATTTTAGGATCATCGTCATTTCTTGAAATGGGAAAACACGGTTTCTGTCTCACACGTTATTAGTAAAATTAACACATTCGCGATCGCTGACGTAAATTTACGTCACTTTGAATTTTATTTCTAGTTATGAAAAAATTATAAAAATCTTTTTACTCCATACACTATATATTTGCAACATTGATATTCCAAAACATATTTTGTAATTCTTGTCTTCGGGTTCAGAATTTTATTACTTTCGTCAGTACTCGGTATTAAAAACGGAAAATATCTGCCGCCGGTCGAGGGGTCGTAGTATGTGACGACCAGTTATTTACGCTTCTTTCGGGATTTTTTTTTCTAAATCATTAAATTACATATACTTGACATTTTTACTACGTTTTTACTTGTATTTAAACAAACAATACAAATTTTTCAAGCAGAAATATAGTCTTTCTTTTCGCCTGCAGAGCTCTCGACAGAAACCGCTTTAAAACAAAATGGCTGCCACGATTCCGGGTGTTCTCGTCTGAAATAAAAAAATGAAGTACATATTATTTAATTTATAAAATCTTAGTGATATATATCATAGTTTTTTTTTTAGCTGAAGCTAAATTCATCGAAAAAAATACGAAAATCTCAAATTAATTTTCAATATTGGACCAATATTTCAATTTTTAACGATGCAAATCCTGTCCCGATGTGACATAATCCTAGTATCGATTATAACAACAGGTCTATAGACTAAATATCTACTTCATCTTTTGATTTCAAATGAGGAGGAAAAAACTATATTTCTGCTTGAAAAAATTTGTATTGTTTTTTTAAATACCAGTAAAAATTTCAAGTATGTGTAATTTAATGATACAGAAAAGAAAAACGAGAAAAGCGAAAATATCTGGTCATCGCAGAGTACGATCCTTTTCTTAAGATAAATTTACTGGTATTAGAAATGTCCTTAAGTTTAAAGAAGACAATTAATTCTATAAAATCTAAGAGAATTCTAAGAGAGTTCCAAGAGAATTCTATAAAATTTTTCTAACAGAAAGTAATTCCAGTAGTATCTTTAATAGAGTTCTTTTTTAACCTTGTATTGGCCCGTGCAACTTTCAGGTCACAAGCTAATACAATATATCGACATTTTATCAAGATATTTTAATGTCAATATACATCTTAATTATACATTAACCTGAAATATCAATGTAAAAACTTTGCAAGTTACCTGAAGAAAAATATATTCAACGCGCAGAGGGTTAATAATAATAATAAACATAATAACAGGAGTATAGATTTCTCCCATACAAATTGGATAAAGAATTCAGCCCACAGAGAGTTAACTACTAATCATAACGAGGAATGAACTCTTTCGTTATTCCCATTTAAATATAGAATAATAGAAAAATTATGCGAACTGCGTTGTATTGTAACGCTTACTATTGTTTACATACGAAATCTGAAATATTCCTTTATGCCACAGGATACTGCGTAAGCTGCCTTCAAGATGGGGGGGATGTTCAGGAGCGAGGAGATGGCCCTTTGCCAGATGTTCATCCAACCAGAGGCTGCCTACCTTTCCGTCTCTGAACTCGGAGAAACTGGTACGGTGCAATTTCGTGACGTAAGTTGAGTGAGACGAATTTTTTTCTACATTTATAATTAAATTCGACTTGTTGCTCGGTGTAAACGAATTATTAAATGGAAATGTCTGTTCGAGGATTTTGTTATCAAATGTTCCGACCAGTTCACTTTGGCCTATAATATTAATTTAAAATGTGCTACATTAGAGTAGAAATAAGAATGTATCACAAAATAAACAAATTATAATATTTTAGCATAGCGTAAGTTCATTGAACACATTTTTTTTTACAAAAGTTTGGATAATCGACAGCGTTATAAGTGTAAACACAATGAAGTTCAATTTGGTATTCATTTTTTTTTAAATACGAGTAATTACCTATAAAATGAAAAGAAATGATCTCGATACAATGAAAATTGACGAAATCATGTGCGTTTAAAAAATGACAAAATTTTGATGAATATTTTTGTTGCAATAATATTGTTACGCAGTGTACATTTCGTTCTCTCTCTGTTTAAGACGAATTACAACTTTTGCGTAATACTTCATCTCGTCCTGCTTCGTAATTACCTTGCAGTTTTTACAAATGGACGAACTAATTCAGTAGAGAAAACTTCTCCATAACAATTTCTCCTTTATTTCATCATTTGAATTAATACTTGGCGTCGTTTCTTAACCAACTGGCCGTTGAACATTCCTAATCAACAAACAGGGTAAAGATTTACACTGGAGTATAATTACAGAACTAGGATAGACGAAAGCTCGTGCTCGGCGATGTAAAAGCATGCGAAAAGGGTTTGATTAATCGTGATTTTCTTTTCCATGCATTGTTTCATAGCTGAACAGCGACGTCAACTATTTTCAACGAAAGTTCGTCAGCGAAGTCCGGCGATGCGACGAGATGGAACGGAAGCTTCGTTACATCGAGGCAGAAGTGAGGAAGGACGAGTTGCCCATCACCGAAAACCTCACGGAATCACCACGGGCGCCAAATCCACGTGAAATTATAGATCTCGAGGTAAGGCTTCATTCTTGGTGCACCGTTGCTTACAGAATATAAAGTTTCACATTTTAAGTCGGGGATAGTCGCAGTCAGGAAAATGGAAACGGACAGTTTCTTGTGTGTGTGTGTGTTTTTAAGGTATTAAATAATAATTTTTCTGAATGAAATGTAAATATATTACAAAGTATGTTTTAAAGAACTATACATGAATTTTTGTTTTGAAAAAAGGTTAATTCATTTCGTCATAACAGGCGATGGCGTGGGTGACCACTTGGTTTGCGGCGAGCAAGATTTCTTCAAACTGGTGCACCTGAAAACAAAACTAGAGGTAGATTTAGAAAATATATTAGACTAACGGGTCCCTGCTCGAAGGATTTTTTATTTTCTTGTATACCTTTTTTTTATCCTGTATTGAATCGCTTAATTTTAGTGAAACAATTGAAAATCAACTTCAAATGTACGCCATTTTGTTTTAAATTAATTTTTTCCAAAATCCTTCGATCAGGGACCCGCTAGACTAATCTATCTTCGAAATCTACCTTTGTTTTTGTTTTCGGATAAACCAGAGTAGAGAAATCTTGTTCACCGCAAACCCATATTTTTAAATCATCGTCTACGTCATCGGCTGTTATGGCGATATAAAGTAACGTTACTTAAAACAAAAAATGTTTTTTAGTTCTTTAAAACATGCTTTATAATATACTTAATTGTTAATTATGCATATTATTATTTAATAACTAAAAAAAAATCACAAAGAAATGTCGTTTTTCCTCTTTCTGACTGCGACTAACCCCTTAATCTTTGTACAAATGTAAAGCATGTAACATCCCACACAGTTGAAAATTTGTGTTCTTGCGTATAAAAATTCATTGATTACATGTTTTGTGTCGATTATTACTCAATCGAGTGTAAGTATAACTAAAGTTGAATGTGTTATCTGGTCTAACAAACGTTTTCTGTTAAAATAGTGAAAATTGATAGATGTAACACATTTTTAGTGTTATCTGAAAATTAATGCATAACAACATTTGGGTAAATTTTCAGAATTTATATTTAGTGAGTCGCGAATTTATTACACACTGTCTACGTTAACTTAATTTAAAAAACATGCTAAGTGTTATTTGCAAGGTTTCATTTGTGTACGTTTTTACACAAAAATTGTATTATTTAGATATGACTTATCACAATATTTGTACGACACTGAGATGTGTGTTATACAAGGATCTTGAATAAAACTTCAATTTCCAGTTCCAATAAAACTTTCAGTTTTGAGTTTCAATTTTCTCCTTTTTTCATTTTCGCGTTACCAAATGTCCCTTCTTGGTACTTTTAAATATGGTACGTAAGTACATTTTTCTTGAATAAGAAACAAATTTGTCTTTCGTTTCGCTTCTCTTCTTCGATTCATTATTTAAAGACTAAACTATAGAAACGTATTAAAGTACGTTTTAATCATAAATTGAAACGTGTTTATCAAATGATAAACTTGTTCAACTTCGAAGAACTGTAGACAAAAGAAGATCTACAAAAAAAGCAATATTTCCAACGATAGTCGGTAGAGGGATTAATGATTCCGTATCGATACTATCGATGTTAGATAATTAAATATCGTTTTATATCGAGTCATTTTGAAACGTTCTACAATATCACGTACATTGTATTAATTTTTAAAACTCACACTTTTTTAATGATCGTTAATCGATATCAATACCGGAGACTCGTGTAGACATCGATACTACGTATTGTGTAAATGTATAAAAGCCGGAGACAAAGTCTAACGAGATTCACATAATACAGGCGGAAAAAGCTTCGAATGATTACTTTTACCGATTACATTTTGCAATGATGTAAAATTGTATTCGTTTGCATTGCGTAGATTAATTCTTATCAAAGATACGATAATCTTTATTCGAATAATAAATAACGAATGAAGGCAACGTATAGCAATTTATCTGTGACGTTAATTCGATGGAACGATGAAACTTTAATTTCTGCATTATGAAATATTTCCTACTATGATTCATATTCTAATTTGTAGTTAACGAGTAATCAACAGTTGATTGTTTGTTATTTATTATTTATCTTTTTTATCTAGATACGAAGTTTGCCAACCTCTGTTTCGTATCGATTAATTTTTGTTGTAATTAGTTATTTATAGTTTCATCGATCGTTCAAGTAGATGATTATTATCGTATTTCAGTTATGAAACTAAATTAATATCCATAAGTTTCGTAATTCCTGGGAAAGGTCATTTAACTTTTTTAATAAAATTACTTCGACGAGTGTCTTAAATTCCTATACTGTTTTGACCAATATCAAAACATTAAGAATTACGTATTTCACCATAAAACAGCTACAATAATTGGTTTTTCATTTTTTCAACTACGATGCACCACACGCAAAATTATGAAAAAAATTGCAGATAATAATAACAATAATATACACTTTCTGTAATTATAGAATCGTAGTTCCGTAATTCTTTCGATGCATACCCGCATTTTTCATAATTTGTTTGCGTTTTTTACTTTTCACAGCTGGAATTTTAAATTGAAAAATCTGAATAAATTCTGGAACATGTAACTCGCTAACTGATTGTACCTAATACTTCTGATCATCGCGAATCGAAATCGGTTTAAGGGCACTTTCGACCCCCTTAACCGGCTATAGTCTGTACCAGGGCTTCTTAAACTTTTTTCATTCACGACCCCATTTATGATTGTGATTTTTTTCGCAACCCAAAAAATATAAAATAAAGATATGTAAATATTTCGTGATGATTTATTGATTAGTTAACGATATATATATATATACATATGAGAAAATATAGGTTTAGAATTTGTTTAAAAACATACAAAAAAGTATAAAATTAAAAATTGCACCAAAAGTTGTAAAATTGTATTTATTATAGTTACAAAAATTATATACCCTATTTTACATCAATACTGCATGTTTTGCAATAACATAAATAAAAGAAAATATTAAATAATTTAATATATACCCCCATTTGGGTTCGCGATCCATGGTTTAAGAAGCCCTGGTTTATACCCTTTGCATTTAATGTCTAAGAAACAGTACTTATTTACTCGTAATCTTTTTCTTTTTGTAAAATATTTATCCGTACGTACGTAGCTTGCAATTGCTGTGTGTTCTTTTAGGCCAACCTCGAGAAGACGAGTAACGATATATTAGAGCTGAGCCAAAATGCGGTGAACCTGAAGATGAACTATCTCGAGCTGACGGAATTACGGCACGTGCTCGAGAAGACGCAAGTGTTTTTCATGGAGGTACCTAAAGTAGTTCAGCAGCTTTTGCTCATAGCATTGTCCTCCTTCATGTAATCGATGTTACCGTTCTGTCGGAGAACCAAGATTCGTATCATCTTCTTCTGTATCAACAGGAAGAGGCCCATGACTCGATTACCAGGACGCTAATTAACGAGGAAACACAGCATCACAGCGCATCGATTCGAGGACGTCTCGAGTATGTCTTTGTCAACAATATCATACACTAACAACAATTCTCTGTTACGAACGGGATTCTCTCTCCTTAGATATATGATGTTCTTTTGCGTCGCGTGATATTTGCTTTACCAAATGTTAGCTGTCCAACAACGTGCAAATTAACTCTTCGTTAGCCATCTTTGTTTAACTTCGTTAATGTGTAACGTATAATTGAGGAATGAAATTAAAGAACAAGGAAGTAATACTGCAAATAGTATATGTTAATTGTATTTCATAATTAGTTTTAGAAAGCACATTTTTTGAAAGAGAGAATTCCTTTCTTATCGATTCAAGTCGAATAATTTGGTTAATCTAGAACTCTTTGCACGCATATAAAAACGGCCATTGTATTCGTGTTTTTTTTTTATAGGATATAAAATAGAGAGTGACATATTTTTTTTAAAATAAGAATAATATTTTATATTAATAGTTTCAATATTCATATACTAATCTGTAATTTTTAGTAAACGCGAATAAGAGGGAAACTTGTTATTTTGACACTAATACATTCTCTTCTTCGAGTAAAATGATGACTAATAAATTTATATTTACGCGTTGCCCTCACAACAATCTTCGTGCAAAATAATTATTACATATTAATTTGTTATTCCATGTTCACGCTATCGATCACTCCGCTCACAAGTAGTGCAATTAAGTGATTAACACCAACTTTTTGGTTTTGTTAAGTACGGTTATGAATTAATTGCGTAAGCAAAGTGTGTAGTGTTAAGTAGCACAAGATTACCACGTCCTCGTTAGAAAATTCCGTTTCAATTTGTCTGTTATTCATTGAATTTGTTTTTCAGATTCGTTGCTGGGGTGATAAACCGAGAACGAGTGCCGGCTTTCGAGCGAATGCTATGGCGAATATCGCGTGGAAACGTATTTCTACGTCAAGCTGAACTAGAGAAGCCATTAGAAGATCCAGCTACCGTTAGTATCTTCCTTTTCTTTTTCTTCTGATAAATTATTCAGACTACGTTTAGTTAATTGAAAAAACAAGCGTTTTTGCATCGTACAGTAACATTCATTTTATTGAAACATTTTAATTATGTTAGGTCGTTCCATAAGTTCATGCCACTTATTCTTCTGATACTCAAATTAATATATGAAACATACCCTTAAGTGTTATAAGAAAAGGTTATCTCTCTCGTTTTACAATATTTTCCAACCTTTTTGACATAGTCATTATACAGTCACTATAAAATTCTTGTAATTTTTTCATTAACTATTTTTTATGACCGAGAATATGACTTTGCTGTAATATTACACCGCGCGGACAGCGGCAGATGCTGTTTCTAAAAAATGTTTAAAATTATTAACAACCAATAAGTAACTTGTGATTTCAGTCAGCAACCAATTACGTTTCAATTGAGTAGCTTCGTATGTGGATGATCTAATAGTTTCCGAAATATTGAACCACATAAGTTTTGTCCCGCTAGATCGCTGAAATATCACACTGTGCATCCTCTTCTTTATTCGCTGTCGTTCTATACACTTCATCGCATTTCCTATCCACTTTTCAAGCTCTTGTAACGGGACATATTTATTCTGTTACTACCCACCCATTCCATCGCCTTACAGCATTTTTCACCAAATAACGGGACATGAATTTCGGCTGTTGGAAAATAAAACGATTTTCAGTCTTAAAAAAAGTCGGTACTTTAAAGTTTTAGACTAGAATACCCTCTTAAAACTTCCAATTAGTGCATATAAAAGTAACGAATTTGTACTCATTACTCATTTGATACGCGTTAGAATTTAAACTATAAACTTACATTATTTTTTATGTGGAACAGATGAATATTTGGCCAAATACCTATTCAATTGAATTAACATTACCGTCTGTGATAATTGTGATATTTTTTGTTAAACGAAACTTTGAGTTCACAATGATATCAAATATTATGAAGTGCTTGCGTCATTGTTTGTTTACTGAAGAAGACTTAAAAAACACGGTTGAAACGCATATAGAAATATACTTTAAATCTGCTGAATTGAACTACAGTCTCATTTAAAAGATCTTCATAAGTATGAAATATGCGTGCCGTATAAATTTTGAAGCATTATAAAAGCCCAAATAAAGAGTACAAAATAATAAATGACACGCTTGAAAAAGGTTTTCAAGTGTTAGTCATTGTTTAAATATATGGGTTAGTATCGGTTACATTAAACTAAATAAGTCTGCTAACAGAACCCATTCTGTGAAACTGTTGTGTACTCCGACCGAGTTGTTTCACGTATTTTTGCTAACTCATGTTTTTACTGATTTTAGCAATCAAATGGATCTGTAAGTAACTCGAAGAGTTGTTTTTAGCTGTTTTAGTGTAGTACCTTAGTAAACACAACTCCAATTCTGAATTTTTTTAGTAAACGACCTGTAGATAGAGTATTTTATTCAATGCAAGTATTCTCCCATATAATTAATGATAGAACAAAATGTCAAAAAATAAAAAAAAAGCAATATTTAATAAATAAATATTATAACATTATAAATAGGATAATTATTATGATATTTGCAAAATACTTGTCAGTCATGTTTTTCAGAATTTCAAGGTCATCGAACTATATATCTAAAAACAAAGATAATAATCTGTAGTCTAATACTATAACCTTCAATGGAAGATGTCTGAGAAAGGCTCCCAAGGGCAACCCTAATGCGCACGAGGTAGCATACCGTGGGTCTCAGAAAAGATCCTAATCCTATCTCAGTCGAAGTGTTTCTAACTTTGCCCCAAATCATCGGGCTACAGTAATATACTAGAAATATTTGTGTGAAATATTTTTTTTAAGGTATGTTCACCGATTACGCCGAGATGGCTTGACCGATCGGAATGAAACCTGTTGCATCTTGTAGTGCATGTCTCCCCGGTGGTCTCCCTATCAAGACTTTTTGCGATTTGTCATTTCTTACCCGTTTTTTGACATCCATAATGTCTCATTTCGACATTCCGCCCCATATCAAGCGCAGCTCCTAACACTTCGATGTCAATGGGTTAAAAATATTTTTATCCATCATAATATTTACCGCTTCAAATTAAATATCGTATTTTTTTGACATTTATTCCTATCATTATAAAAAATAAGCGGAATATTTAAGATGCTTGAGTTAGGCAGCGATTGTAACACGTTGCGTTGCGTACTCGAGGAAAGCATGTGCCCCAAACGTGAAAAGTTAAGTTACTTTTATCTTTCTGTTTTTATCGACCAATTGCGTTGCAAAATAAATGAAATTTCTCCAATAACAAACTCGATTGCTACTTCGCTTCAAGACGTTACGATTGAAATCAATTCCTGAACTCGTTCAGTGATTTATCTCCGGTCTACAATTACGTTTTAGAAAGTCAGCATTGCAAGTATCCTGATCATACATAAAACTATTACTATAACCAGTTCTGCGTATATCGGTAACGCATTCACAATTAAATCTGCACACTGCACGATAGCGCTAATAAAAATCATACCACTTTCAATATTTAAGTCGGTACAGTTTAGAATAAATTAATATAAAATAACATAAAAAAGAATAAAAAAAAAAAAACAGATGCAGTTATTATCGCTTATTTTAGATATACCATTGTATAAAAGAATCCAACGCATCACATAAATATTTGCTTAACGAATAAATTAAATCGTAACCGCATAGAGCATATTGATATTCACTTCGATTACAATAATATACAATAACAGTAGTTCTCAAATTGTTTGAATGGCGTTTGACCAAAAAATAAAAATATTGTTGCAGCTGAGATTTATAGACGACTTATATTATGCAAAAATTTTTATTAGTAAAAGAATAATAGCATATTATTGTACAGTACATGTGTGTATCTTACTTACCGACACAGTTGAGTATCTTCCTAAACGATGAACGAAGAAATAATTAAACACTAACTAGATGAAATTTGTTATAATTTAAAGCTTTGAACTCGCAAAATTAATCAAATGCTTTACGCGGTAGTTCGATAGCTATTAATTAAGTCTGGAGTTCACGAACAATCAACTACTATTGTTGCGATGCAACAACCAGATTAACTCACGATTGAGTTGTATTTTACATTTAACGATATATTTAGTGTATATTCTTAGACAATAAAAGAATTGCACGCTGTTCAAACACTCGGTTGCATGTGATTCGAACACATAACTGAAAAAGAACAAACAGTTGTATAGTTGTACAGTTGTATAAATTCTACTTTATATCAACATTCCACCTAAAATCAATGTTGCAAGTAAAAGCAAAATTGATGGACAACCACAACAATAGTTGTCCGTCATTGTAGACTTTATGACGGTAAATCCCGCAACAAAAGCGGCTGTATGGGTGAAAATGTGTGTGCCGAGGACTTTCAATTATCTTTATTTGTAGTGTGGGCCTAATGGACCGTTTACACTTTTCCTGTAACATTATATAAAATTTACATTTTCAACGTATAATAGTTTCGTCCTTGTTACATTTATTTCCTTGTTCTACCTCCTATCTAATATTTTAAAGGATACCGAGGACTTTTCTGCTCGGGACACACATTTTCACCCGTCGCTTTCGTTGCGGGGGTCACCGTCATAAAGTCTACAATGAGACTTGTGTCTAAAGTTAAAGACTAGAGTCGACAATGAGAACTACAACGAGAAAAAGTCAACTATTGTTGCGGTTGTCCATTGTGTCTATTAGCAAGCAGATCACCCTGTACAATCAGACATAGCTACAGCCCCTGAGGACGTCAATAAACGAACGAAGTGACTTTGGTCGAATGTCAACTGATCTAAGAAAACCGTACCCCAAGAAAAATCTTTAAACAATCTTACCATGTGATCAATTTCGCGATTTACTGTATGCTTTACCTTTGTGGATTGTTTTAGGGCAACGAGCTTTTCAAAACGGTGTTTGTCGCGTTTTTCCAAGGAGAACAGTTAAAGAACCGCATCAAGAAAGTTTGCACTGGTTTTCACGCGTCTTTGTACCCGTGCCCGCATACTCACGCAGAACGTGAAGAAATGGTCAAAGGTGTTCGGACGAGATTGGAAGACTTAAACTTGGTGAGGCTGTTACACGCATTACAGTAATGTAATAATTAAACTGCGAATCTTTATGCATTTATAGAAAACTTGGATGCGCAAGAATCTACAAAATCCAAACAATATGCAAGAATATAAAAAAGATTGAAAGTAAAGTGCAGGTTATAATATTTGCAGAATAAAATAAATTTCTATATAGGTTCAATTTTTGTAGGCACGTTCGCGAAGATTTTATTTTGCATCAGGATCCGCAGTCTAGTAATAATTAACCCTTTGCACTTGAGCAGAAAAGATCCTTCTTTATGTCAGATTTCGTTGAATTTTGAATTGTTAGTAGCTATATTGGTTCATAATTAGGTTCTTTAGCTCTTCATGTAGATACAATTGTATATCTTAAAGTAGCAATAAAATGTGTTATCACAATTTTGGTAAGGTCTCTAGCGGTAGTTTATGTTTGATAATTGTGGCAGAAAGTTGTTTCCAAAGTCTTTATTATGATGGAGGTCTTGATACCCCCTGCAGACAGATTTCTATATTCATGAATGCATCGCAAAGAATGTTTCGTAAATCACTATTCAAAGGAAAACTATAGAATATAACATTATAAAAAAAAAGATCTATGGGCAATATTGTATACATTGATGTCTTCATAAAATCATTTTACGTTAGCTGTAAGTAGACAAGTATTTGACAAACTGGTTGCTGGTTTACCCTAGCAAAAATTGCGTCATAAGGAAAGTGTTAATTACATAATCGAGTTTAAATAACACAGCTAATACTTTCTAAATTCTGTAGGAAGTTCTATTTTAACCCTTTTAGTGCCGGGCGAAAAATAGGTGCCTATGCGAGATTAACCGGTGTGGGGGGGGGGGGGGGGCGGTATACTAGGGTTTCGGAAAATGCTCATAAAAACGAGAAACAATATTTACATGATTCGAAAAGCAGTATATTAAGGACGAAATAAAAGAACAAAACAATGACACCAGTACAAATTTATTTGGATTATTTCTCCCGCAATGCGAATAGTAAAGCTATATGCGAATAGTAATATCGGCTCCCGGCACTAAAAGGGTTAAGCGCGAAAATAAACGCGATGATCTTACGTGCATTTATACAGTCGGTGGCCATCCACTTTTTCATCTTATCTTTTTATGACTCGGCAGGTGTTGAACCAAACGCAAGATCATCGTCAACGTGTACTGCACAATGTTGCGAAAGAACTACCTAACTGGAGTATCATGGTTCGCAAGATGAAGGCAATCTACCACACGATGAACTTATTTAATATGGATGTTTCCAAAAAGTGTCTTATAGGAGAATGCTGGGTACCCGTAGCAGATCTCGGAATTGTCAGAGATTGCCTTAGCGAAGGATCGGTTGGTGTTTAAATCAAGTTACTCATAATTATGATATTCGTTTGTAACAAGAAAACGTTTGTCGTGATCTTCATTTTTGGTTACTTTCGATCCAGACTGTATGCACTTCAAAATAAATCTTTAAACAATGTTCAGTTTCATAGTGGACAAATAGTGTTTAATTACATGCACGTTATGATTAAAAGTCTGTTGAAATTTTACTTTTTTCAGCGTCTCTGCGGTAGCTCGATACCGTCTTTCCTTAATGTTATCTACACAAATGAGGATCCTCCAACGTTTAACAGAACGAACAAGTTTACGAGAGGTTTCCAAACTTTAATTGACGCCTATGGTGTGGCATCCTATCGCGAAGCTAACCCGGCTCTTTATACAATTATAACCTTTCCCTTTTTATTTAGTGTCATGTTCGGCGATGCTGGCCATGGTGAGTGAACGATAATATCGACGCCTAGACGAGTACGCTGGTATGCTTTAAACTAGCTGTACATATTAATTTTCAACGCAGGTTTGGTTATTACCTTGTTTGCTGCGGTCATGATCATATGGGAGAAGAAGTTTCTGGCACAGAAATCATCGTCTGAAATTTGGAATATATTTTTCGGCGGACGTTACATTATACTGCTGATGGGTTTGTTCTCCATTTACGCTGGCTTCATCTACAATGATGTATTCTCAAAGTCAGTGAATTTGTTCGGATCTAGTTGGCAAATTTCTTATAATGTAAGCACAATCGAGGGTAATGCTTGGCTTCAGTTGGATCCGGGGGACAAAGATATGTATAAGCAAGCACCTTATCCTTTCGGCATGGATCCAGTTTGGGTACTGGCTGAGAACAAGATTATATTCTCCAATTCGTACAAAATGAAACTTTCGATCATCTTCGGTGTTGCGCATATGATTTTTGGCGTCTGCATGAGCGTCACCAATATCATGTAAGATCTATATACAGCGTATGATTAACATCTTATAAACTCGTTTCAGTATTTGAAATTCTAACAGTGTGAGATAAGTTTTATGAAATAATACTTTAATTAAGAATTACAATTATATTTAATTAAGTTCATTCTTTTTTGTTTAGAGAATGTTTTCTCATGACATTTGAATCAGTCAGATAGATTACAGAAGTCCATAATATAAATGAATGAATTTGATAATATTTGATAATATTTGGTGGTTTAGTAATTCTTTATACGCATGAATAAAATATTTGTAACTACCAAATGAAATATATCGTTAGTCTTTTGCGAATCCTAAAAAAATGGTTTAATGTAACAAATAATATTTTCCCAGTCATCAGTTTAAATATAAAATATTCTTTGATGAACAAATAGCTTTTCTGTACTGTAAAAAAAAAAAAAAAAAAAAAGAACATATTACTAATCAAATCTGCACACTACTCTTAGGTATTTCAGAAAATACTCGAGCTTCTTCCTCGAATTCTTACCACAACTGATCTTCCTTATTTTATTATTTTTCTATCTGGTGGTTTTGATGTTTGTCAAGTGGATTTTATACGATGCCGCTGGACCAGGTGTGTATTCCAATTTTAATTAACTGTCTTAGTATCAATATTCATTTAGACATTTAAATACCTTTTACTATACTCTACAGATAAGGCATACCATCCACAGTGTGCTCCGTCGGTGTTGATCACATTTATTAACATGATATTGGGAGGCGAGTCCGTTGTACCAGAAGGTTGTTCAGCATACATGTTCCCTGGTCAGGCTAAATTACAACTTGCTTGCGTTGTACTGGCTGTGTTATGTATACCTGTAATGCTTCTTGGCAAACCAGTTTTCTTTTTGGTATCGAAGAGGATCAAAAAGAAGAACCTTATTATGGTAAGCACTTTGTCTCGTCAAGGCACACGATTTAAAATAAAAATAAAACTTAAGCTCTACAAAATTACAATCCCATTGCTTATTCAGCTTTAATATTCGTATAAAACTTTAGTCAACACGTTTTATTATTCTAAAATTATTTACTTATTCGCAATGTACAAGTAAAAAATAAAAGAACTTATTTACCTATATATACCTACATACATATTTACAATTAAATATTAATACATAGTAATGGATTGTCGGTTTCTTAATGGATTGGTATACCTAAGCATTAGGTATATGTATGATATTTGAAAGAATTTCGATGACATTTGGCCAAGTTACATCGATTTATATTTTAAAATGCAACTTCTAAGTTCTTTTAAGTACTTAACAATTTTTAACGATTGACTCTTTCAGAGTAATGGAACCGCGTCTCAAGACATCGAGTTGCAATCCGAATCACTTCAAACTCCTCCTTCGACTACCGAAGGAGCTGGCCATGATCACGAAGAGGATTCGTTTGGCGAACTTATGATCCACCAAGCTATTCACACCATAGAATACGTTCTTTCCACGGTATCTCACACTGCCTCTTATCTCCGTTTATGGGCTCTATCGCTAGCTCATGGTCAACTATCCGAGGTATTGTGGAGTATGGTGTTGCGTAAGGGTTTCGGCGCCAGTGAGAATAATTATGTACAGAGCGTTGTTTTATTCTGCACTTTTGCCGCTTGGGCCTTTTTCACAATTTCTATTCTTGTTTTGATGGAAGGCCTCTCAGCTTTTCTTCACACACTTCGACTTCACTGGTAAGTAGAAGCAACCACATTATAAAGTATTGTTAATTGAAAAATAATACTAATAGGATTGGCATAAGTCAAGCGACATCTTTCGGACTCGAGAACAATGCTTACTTACTAAAGATACATACATACTACTGTATCTTTGAAATTAAAGAGGAAGGGACAAATCAATTTATCAATATAATTAGCTTTAATCCTATTTTAATAATTGTCACATAAAATTGTAGCATAATCATTGTTAATAACTGAGTTATTTTAAAAACAAGTTCGACATGGGTGGGTCAAATTAATTTTTTTTAACAATACTAGTATTAAACTTTATTTGCTTTGAATTGGTCGTATTATGTAGTATTTATGGAAGTAATGTAATGTTTGAAAAGTGTAATATTCTATAAGAAACATTACTTCCAGGTTTCTGTATAATATAATACTGTTTTAACTTTTCTTTCTTAAATTGTAAGTTAAAAAATTACGATTATATCGGCTTACATTTAAAATTTACAAAGGTAGAATAAAAGAAGTGTATGTTTTCGGGTCGAATTATTTTTGCAATCTTTTTATACGTGCTTCATTTTTTTCAGGGTGGAGTTTATGAGCAAATTCTACGAGGGCCAGGGTAACGCCTTTCAGCCATTTTCTTTCAAGAGTATTTTAGACGCCGAGGAAATCGAGGAGTAGGCCGTCTTGGATCAACAGCAATAATTATAATTAGATACGTCGAGATACTTGTTTTTATTTTGTAATCAACTCAACAGTATAAAGTATCATCCACGAAACTTAACTGCTAACCAAAGTGTTTGCATAAAATGCGTGACGTGGATAATCCCAGAAACAATCATGAATCCAAATTGTTTGTAAACTCGTTCCTTTCTAATATCGTAAGACGATAGTATTCGATTTATATGTCTTATAAGCGCTACAGAAATGTATACTTAAGCCTAATTTCTAACATTCTCGTCGGATATTCTTCAAACAAAGATATCCAAACCGTCGTATGATTCATCAATCAACACTGCGTTTCAAAACTGTATCACATTTTTAAATATTATGTACGTTGAGTATCAAAAAGGTAAAGTACAACGGCGAATAAAATTATTATTCAAATTTACTGGTAATGAACTTTTAATGAATAAAGATGGGTATTTAATCAACTAAAGTATCGGCGTAGTACTAAAGCAACGAAACGTTTTTTAAAAAACAAACTATAGAACACACGAACGATAATTAATCTAATAATATATTTTTGTTATTGGTATACAATTCAATCTAATTTTTCCTACAAGTCTGATATGGTTGTAGCGATGACATTTTTCCAATTTCAAGAGACGAGAGAAACAATATAATTTCGGTCTGTCAGTTCATCTATTTTTTATCGCAATATTATCAACGAGCTGGTGTCATAGAGTACTACAGCCTTTTTCTTGTGAAACCAGGATGTCGCGGTTGTATTGTTACATAAAATTATGTGCGCAGGAAAATTGTACAAACGGTGGATAATATATTTGTAATCGAATAAATGGGTAGCTTGAACTTTATAACTGGACATATGTTCGATCGGTGCGCGGTGTATTTATTCCATCAATCATTCGAAGGAGTGGGGATAAATTGTATTACTGTTTAGACACGATATTTCGACAACAAAACATTTAATCGCACGATACGATATAATATGTTCCATCTTGTACGGATACGGTAATATATATATATTGCAAAACGAGAAAATATTAAATCTGAGAACGATGGTGCGAATGTACATACTATATTGTTAGAGTACAAATTGCTGTGAGTGGTTGGCAGAAAGTATTCACCCTTAACTAATAATGAAAGGCGTCGTTAGATATGTATCCAATATATGTAGATATTAATATAATATCCAAAAACAGAGTGATGCAAATATATGACTATATTTTGTCAACATTGTAAAATTAAATTGTTTTAATACCCCTATTCCTTGTATTTTCAGACGGCGTGAAAATGTCTCGTACCTGTTATTAAATTTTCCTAACGTAAGTGTGATTTGATGTAAATACATTATAATAATTAATTCTTTCGAAGTATTCAATTTTGGTTTCACCATGAATAATTCCATTTACTTTTCAACAACTTCCTTCTCGACTATCTTTCGGTATAGTGTTATGGTTTTAATTTTGAATGGAAAATTTAGAACCGATCGATGCGACGTCAAACTTGACGCAAATTAAATCAACATCTGCAATAATTCTCTTACTGCATCAAAAAGAAAACAAAATGTCGGAAAAACTACTGTATCGCTCTTAGAAGGTCGCCATTTTGATAAATTATATTTTTATATGAATTCCTTCTAATTATCTTGATACAAGCGACAGGTCTATAGATAGATAAACACTTGTAAAGATTCAAATTTGTTTAGATTGATATATGTGTAGAACGTGAACAGGACGACAGATATTGTGGCACTCATGTGGGTAAGTAATTAGAATACGTCTATGCGGTGTGACTGCTCGAAAAAAAGGAGAACCCTGGGGAGATTTAGGCGGAGCGAGCGTAATCCTCCATCCCCTCAGTCCCCTCAAGTTTGTTGGTGCTTCGCCAACTCCTGAGCAACAGTCAATATATCTGATTTGCCCAAAGAAATATGTAGTTAATAGTTTCATAAAAATTCGAAATAATTACATATCACTTTTTGTTCTTTTTTCGGACATGGCTGGACGTGTGTCTCAATCTTCAAAGATCTTTATACCTCATTTAAGATTATTATTTACCTTAAAACTAAATTAAAATTTTACTATTGTAGTATTTTAATATTGAAGCATTTTTGTGCCAATCTCCCAATTCCTTGCATATCTCATTTACGTGAAATTCTAAATATCACCTGAAAAACGATATGCGATATGTATTGTGATAGATTACTTGAAATTTATATCGCGAGTGATGTCAAAGTAGTTCTATTAAATATATATAGTCTCAATAAGAATAAATAATTGGCAAAGGTATATGGAAGTTGTTAGTTCGAAATCGATTTCAACTTTGTTAAGGAGAGTCATTTTCTTCTTCGCTGCACAGCACGAGTCCAACTTGGAAACGTTCACTATTGTCTGGGCTTCGTCGACTCTACCCTTCAATCATCGTATTCGCCCCATGTGTAGATTCTTTAATGTTCATTCTCTCTGAACACTTGAAGGGTTGCTAATGAAACAACTGAGGCGTGGTCCTCGGAGCTTCTGTACGGCGCGTTTAAATTGAATCAATAGATAATGAAGGATATTCTTCAAGTTTCCTGTATATTTCAGATGTAGTGTTTATTTTGGTTTTTAAAAATACGTATATTAGAATAATGGTTTAATATAAGTATACGACTTAGCGCGTCTCGACCACACCCCTCAAATTAACTGCCCAGAAACAACTGGCCTTTCGGCTAGAACATCCCCTAGACCCTCGCATTCTTCCACCACGCAAACTTCCCGTTACGGGCCCGCTGGCCCGTGGGTTTTTCCCATCCCTCGCTTTCACTCGGAACGGCTCCGTGCGACTTTCCCGATACTACACAGATTTGAGTTTTTATTCACAATATTCATCTCTTTTTTGTCAGATATTTCTATTCTAGAATTTTTTTTTGTAATTATAACCCAATAGAGTGATTATAAACCCATTGCAATATTTTATTATTGCTGCACTTTAACATTAAAGCGTCTTAGAATTAAACCATTTTATGATCGAAGCATTTTAGTGTTGAAGCATTTTACCACTGAAGCAACTTTGTCATTAAAGCATTGAAGCATTTTAGCATTGAAACATTATATTCTAATATTCATGATATTAGCATGATATTCTAATATTCAAGCATTTTAACATTAAATTATTTTATGATTTAAGCATTTTATAATTGAAATATTCCGACATTGAAGCATATTGTCATTAAAGCATTGAAGCATTCTAGCACTGAATCAATTTGGCATTGAAGCATTTTAACATTGAAGCACTTCAATATTTTAGTATTGAATTATTCTACGTAGCACTTTATCACTTTAAGATTGAAACATTTTAAGATTGAATAATAAAGGGTCTAGCAGGATAAGGATAGGCAATCGGCCGCCACCACAATTTTCATTGCTATTATGTGCCGTGCAATGCTTTTCACCTAAAACATCATCCCATAAAGCTTCAGACCGTTACCCCCTCGTTTAAGGGTAATATGAGTAATATGGGTAAACATCCATAACTTTATTATTTTTTTTCTCGGTTACTATTTCAGATATTTAACCCTTTGCACTCGAGCGGCGCCGCTACGGCGCCCGGGCAGTATTGCGCGACCACTCTACGGGCGCCGCAGCGGCGCCCAGGCCTTCTTTAACTCGTTATGTTTGTCTACGATGTGCGATAAGATGTTTGACAAATTTGTACACCCTTTCTAAGCAAGAAAAACAGAAAAGAAAGGAAAGACCATTAACATTTAGGTTATCTATGTAGAAACGCTTGTGGAAGAATCGGGAGAACCGTATCGTCAGCATCGCGATCAAGCGGCGAGACCAAACAGCGATGAGTCTCGGCTAAATGGAAAGCTTCATATTGTTTTGAAAGAGGTAAAGAGGGACTGTAAGGTTTCCTATGGCCGTAATAAACCTGGCGTCAGGCGAGAAACCTCATATTATTATGATACATGCCCTAACAAACTGAGAATCCATCTCGGGGATTGTTTTGTAAAATATCATACAAAAACCAAATACAAAGTAAAATATTTAACAGATTTTGTTATATATGTTGTATGTTTTATAAATTTTATTATTTGTACACGTTTGCTTGAATTTAAGATCATTATAAAGTACCAGTAAAACGCTTCCCTAATTTAGCCGAAATCGTTTGGAGTTGTTAGTTCGCCTAAGAGAAAAAGGCTTCGAGTGCAAAGGGTTAAATTCTACAAACACGAAAATATTCGTACTTATAAACCGCATCTCGTATATTTTTTTCACGGTATGTTTTTAATTATTAAGGGTAGAAAATAAATATTTTCTTTTTTTCGGGTGGTAATTGCAAATAACCCTGTGAGGGACACCTACCAAAAAAATCAGAAATGATGATCAGTTATTTAATTGACACATGTAAAATTGAATAATTAGAAAGAAACAAAAATCCCATGCGTTACGCTCCGTGCAATGGGCTGAAGTAGAATGAGATAATGGTCAGACACACTACGCGTGTCGTTACAGCTATGCATACGACAGGGTTTCAACCAGTTCCGACAATTTTGTAATTGATATCATAAAATTTTCCTTAAAAGTATTCTGTTTATTATTTCTTAAATTGTTTATTAACGATTAATTGTTTATTTCTTATAATAATAATATAATAATAATTGTTTATTTCTTAATTGTTTACAAACACGCGCTATGCGTCGCTCGATGTATTGTAACTTAGTTGTAAATAATTGAAAAGAAACAAAACTGGCAATATGAAACGAACTAAATGTCACGTGAAGGTCAACATATTGAACCTCGATGGATTCATTTTTTTATAAGCTATTAGACTGTGTAGTGAAAATATGAAGTCCCTGTCGTATGCATAGCTGTAACGATACCCATAGTGTGTCTGACATTACTCATTCTCCTTCAGCCCATTGCACGGAGCATAACACATGGGATCTTTGTTTCTTTTTAATTATTTAACCATGTTCCAGGACTCCGACCGTTTTGAAACTTTTACATGTGTCAGCTAAATAACCGATCATCATTCCTCATTTTTTTGGTAGGTGTCCTCCACAGGGTTGTTTGAAATTACCACCCTCAAAAAATAAATTATTTATTTTCTACCCTTAATAATTAAAAAAATAGCCTGAAAAAGATTGGTTTATGTATAATACTTTAAAATTGGTTTAAAATTGGTTTATGTATAATACTTTAAAGTATACATATACTTTAAGTTTGGAGTGCGAAGTTTTCTCATTATCATGATTTATGAGGTAAAGTTTGATGATATTGGAAACTTTCAATAAAGTAATTATCGGAAATGTATAATACGTTTTCATCACTGTACCGCTATAATGAAACTAATCTCAACATGATTATCAGCTAATGATCGACGACGAATTCTAGTTTTTTCTGTCACATTTTCAACAAGAAAGTTAACGATATTATATAAAAATTACGAAGAAGTAAAAACAATTTCGTTCCGATTATTTCTCTTGAATAACATGAAGCACATTTATGAAAGTTTTAAAAACATAAATAGTTGTTATCTTCTAGTCTTCGTTACAGGTGTATCCAAGTAGTGCTGTTGGAAAGCTCGGAAAAGCGAGCTGAACCAAGCTGGGTTTATATGTATTATTCACATTTTTTACATTTCTATACATATTCATGGAAATTTTATATCGTAATTATCATAATTCAACTTCTAATTGTTGATTTGTGCACTCATCATTGACTGATATTAATTTCTTTAATTAAATAATAATAATAATAATAATAACAAATTTTATTCGAGTGTAGTCTTAGCGGGATTGTATACACTTTTCCTGTTACATTAGTGTTTTACAAAATACAAGTCCTTTGAGTTTACATGGTTATTTTGGTTGGTCTAACATTTCTAATCGCTTATTTTCTAATCTGTCAATTACTTTAACATTTAGCGCGCTATACTACTTTATGAATTTATATGCTGATTACTATCTAAGAGTGTATAAAAATATAGTAATTAATATAGATAAAATATATAATATAAAATAACTGTGTAGAGCATATGAAAAAATAAACTAAATAAACTTTAGATTGTTCGAGAATTTTTGTTACAATATTCTATCGCCCATACTCATGATTTTTTTTGTTATGCTTAAAATTACATATGTTAAAGATACGACCTCTAACGAATCTATGTATCTATATATCACAGTGTTTTTCTTGCGTCTGCCAGGAATCTACTAATACTTTTATAAACTTTTATTTTGTTTAAATTTATTAGCCT